TGTGACATTTGAGGTTTCTTGGCATTCTGCGTTATGTACGCATCCTAGAATGCGACATTTTTTTATACAGATGATTAATGATCTATGCCAATTTGGGAACTCTAGTAAGTATGCTTTTAGTGGTCCACCATTTTATCAAGTCTTATCTTTTCAATAATTTCATTTTTCAACAAGCTAGCCTTGAATCCAACCAATGAAGCTAGTTTTTTTTCATCTATAAATTTATTATCAAACTGAGATACATAATCAAACATTAAAACTCACCCTGAGTCTTTCACGGAAAACAAAACCAATTGAACCAGTAACTCAAAAAAAATAAAAATATTAATAACATTTTGCTTTAATGTGTTAGAGATGATCTAAGAACTCAACAGAAGGTTACGCCATGCCACACCACTCTCACAACTCACTCCAAAACAACAAATAGACGCCAGAATAGAACTGAGAAACAAGAGCTTGACCAACCCATGAAGCTAAGTTGTTTTGTTTATATTTGCAAGAAAATTAACAAACCCTCAATTTATAAGTGTTCGACTGTTAATTCACTGGTGAGGTTCTTTGAATCAAGGCACTTTTAATTTAGGCCCAACAGTATATACACCATAAATAAGAAAATAAGCCCATGACAAGATCTTACAAATTACAAGCCCTATCTTGTAGAGCACCTTTAATCCAAGGGTATTTAGAGCAATATTAGTGTAGACCCACAAAAAACCCCCAAAACAAATGTTTGTTGCTCCCAAATAACTGAATAAGTACTGAATTATATGAGTTGTTTACACTATTTGCGGACTCCGGTAACATATGACGGTTCGCGATTGATTCATTTTAATTTTTTTTTAGTCAGATAAGAAAAAAAAAAGCATTTCTAATTGGGATTTTGGGTTAATGGTGCTCTAACATCTTTCACATACACTTAATTAATATTCATACTTTAATTTTTTTCTAGAAAATGCAACATTCGTATTGAACATAAATCCTCACTTTTCTAGCAATTTTCTTTTCAAAAAGTTCTCATTCCTCTTTCAATACTTGAAGGCACACGAATTTTTGTTTACAATAATTACTTGTGTAAAATTACAATTTGGTAAAATTTAGAGAAAAAAGAAGAAGCATAGGGGTTAAAAGATAATTATAGGATTAATATCTTATCCGTTAATTATATGATTAATATTTTATTCATTTCTAAACGGCAACAAGAGTTTTCAAAAAGAAACTCCCAACCAGCGAATAAAATGGCTTCTTCAACCGGTCTCAACGTCACCAGAGTTCTACCTATGTCTATATATCTTTTTCAAAATTTTAGTGGTCTGAGGGTAAAGTTTCGACAAGTTTGGTTCAGGACCGGCTCTGCTTAATCACCGCCTATTAATTTCTTAAACATTGACTGATAACTAATAACACTGGCATTGTGTAGAATGTAAGTGAAGATAGTGACGACAACAAATACGGGAAGGTTGTTTACAAGAGCGACGATCTCAAGTCTCTAATAGCTGAGGTAGATGATGACGCAGAGAGTTTAGCATGTAAGCCAAAAGCCTTTACTTCAATATGATTTTTAAAACTCATTGGCTTATTAAGAAATGGAGAATCCACTCTTTGTAGTTGCTGTTGAAATGGCTAAAGTTGCGAGTGAGGTTAAAGCTGGAGAAAATTAAGGTCCTCTTTGTTAAAGCTGAGGATGATACTGTCTGCTCTAGAAAAAGAAAAGGCAAACAGTTTCTTTCTCCATGAGTCATCATCAATTCATGACCAAGAAGGAAGGCCTTGGAGTTTTCATTTTGTTCTTCCAAGGCATTACTCTTTGTCAAGAGAGATAAAATCAAATCTTTCATGAATGTGAGCCTCTGTTCTTCAATTTCAAACACACTCTTACATAGTGGCTCAATGTTTATTTTCAACTTTAGAAGTTAATGACATTAACTTGGTGACTTCAATGATACATTCACGAATGTTGAACAATAAGATTGGACAAACAGAAGAAAAACACAACCAAACTGAAACTAAAGCTGGCTAATGTTTTAGTCCGAAAGACATTACCAATGCAAGAGCAAGAGCAAGACGATCAATCTTCAAGGAGACAAAAGTTTGTAACCTTTTGTCTATTCAGCAGGTCTCATTCTATCCTTACTCATCTCAGTGCGTCTGCGTTTAGCTCCATTGTCCCCTTCTCCTAAACGCAGCCCCACACACAAATCCCCATCACATCCACCATTCCCAAGACCAGCAACAAGCTCCTCTCTAGCAGTCTCAGGCCAAGCAGGCACAGAACACTGACCACTAAAGCTCGGCATGAACTGGTGCTCCACACTCGGAGGACCTCCTTTTGTTTCTATCCTCTCTTCAAGATCAATCCTCTGAACCTGAAGAGGTCCTAACGACGCCTCCAACTTCTCCTCAGAACTTCTCTTCTCCTTCTTAAGATTCACATACGGAGGTGATGATGAGTCTGCAACCATTGAGCTCATCCCTGTAGTTGAGGCCGCTCGTTGTTCTCGCACCGCCGCTGAACAAGTACACAACAACACAAACACAAGTGTCATGTTTACTTTCTATATGCTGTAAAAAGTAAAAGATTACCTTTCAATCCTTCATCAGTGGTGATTAAATCAAGCTGGAGATGTGTAAGAAGTCTTCCTAAATCAACACCAGTAGTCCAGCTCTCAGGAGACTCACCAACTTTAAGTTTCAGCCTCCCACGGCTTCCAGTGCCTCCCCATATAATCCCTATAGGCCTTGCATTCTCCTCCTCTCCTTTCATCACTATCAGGCTTCCACTATCTCCTTCAAGATCAAAAGGACTGCGATGATTCTCACCAACAACAAGGAAGTCAGTGAGGAAGCAGACTCCTCTCTCATCATTGTACTCCAAAGCATAAGCCAAAACAGTTCCTGTAGTCAAACCAGAGCTTCTCCCAACTTTCACTACCTGTTTCCCTACTAAACTCCCAACTGGTGACTGCAGCTCAATGGCTTTTACCTCTCCAATCTCTCCTACTCCACCTTTGACAGACGTTGTGACTCTTGACAAGTCATAGTCGTCTGCAAATGGGATGAATGCTCCATCTGCTCTCACAAACGTCTCTGCAAAATTCATTAAAAAATTATTGCTAGCAGTTGCTGTTTCAATGATGCTTAGCCTCATTAAACTAGATGTTTTCTAAACCTGGATTGGTGCCAGCGAAAATGCCAAACCAGAGATCATCAGTGATGAAGGAAGTGGCTCTCTCAACGGCTCCAAGGTAGACACCAGGGCCAAGTGCAGGAGGGAGAGGATGAAACATCTTCTGGCTAGGGTAGTCTAAGTTAACAGCAACATGGCGGTTAGTCACAAACCCAACTTGTCTACCTCCTGTTTGACTTCTCACTATTGCCCCTAGAGTCCCACAAGTCTCCTGGCTTGCCACCTGATTGAAAAGTTAGTAACAACACAACACAAAGCTACATAAGTTTGTTATCATTCCATAACACCAGAGAGGTCCAGATACAGTGAGTAATCATCATTATACCTGAGAGCCAGATCCAATGAAGGGATCAGATCCTTGGAGATGATCAACAATATCAGTAGTGAATGTTTGTTTAGGAGTAGGCTGATGATCAGGCTCTCCAAAATAAGAAAACTCCACCACATCTACATCACACCATATCCCTCCTGCTCCCTAATTTCAAAACACCCCAAAACCAAACATTCACTATCATAACTTCCATACAAACTCTATCACTCAAACGTTACCTCAAGAGCAGTAGGAAGACACTGAAGAGGGCTAAGCCACTGCTTATGAACTTTCCGAGACACAAACACAATAATCGCAGGTATATCTGTCAAAACTCCTCTCCTAATCCTAAACCCAATGGCGGTTCCAAGACTGTAACAACGCAAGATCTTGCTGTGGAAGGCTCTTATGGTCATGAGCTCAAGCAAAGTAGTAGCTCTTTGCCCTTTAGGCTCAGTGGAAGCTGGCTCAGGAGAAACCTCTTCCTCCTCCTCATCATCCTCTTCCTTCTGTAAGTTTGAGAAGTAGTTAGCTCTCTCCTCAGCAGCGTTGCTAAGCCTGCTTGAAGTTGGCCATGAGAAGTAAGACGCCGCCGTGAAGTCACAGTGTTGTCCTGCTGATCCTTGCTGACGCATTGTTGCTAAAGTAATCACAAAGTCTCAATTTTTTTTTTTTTTTTGATTGATAATCACATCTACACAGAGAAAGCTAAAGATGATCAGAGAGAAGAACACTAAGAGTGTCTCACATACTGATCAGATCAAAGAGTTTGGATTTGATTACCTGAGGATTTATAAACACTTAGTCAACGAGCTGTGGCCATAAGTCCACTGAAACACCAGTTTGTTGAAACGTGTTCTGTTTCAATACTTAGCAGCAATGGAAGGAAAGAGTAAAGTTAGAAGCTTTATCTTTTTGTAGATTAGAAAATGATGGAAAACTTCAGTTTAAGATTAGTGGGTAAAGTAATAAAGTATCATAAAGTTTACAGCTTTTTGTAGTAACAAAGCGCTTTTGGTCGTAGTTAATGATGGGTTAGTGTGTCTTAGTGGATTCATGTCAGAAACCTTATCTTGTCTGGTTCTGATTTGCCAACTTTTTTCTGTTTGAATAAATACAGTATTCTTCCAGTTTATGGGCTTCACTTAGGTCCATTAATTTGCATTGTACTTTCTCCAAATCATGTTTAAGAAATTGTACACTAATTAATAAAAATTAAATACATAATTATCTACATTTTTTTTAGTTTTGAAAGATCTAAACTTCTCTACATTTTTTAATCACTTACAGAATTGTACAGTTGTTAATAAAACTTAAATACAAATTTTTATCTAAACTTTCTAGTTTTGTTTTTAGTTTTATTTGATTTTCAATAAATTTCTATCCTTCATATTTTAAAATGTTGATTTGTCTTTTAGTTTTAAAACAAAGTACCTAAAATTTTAAACATCAACTTTCAAATATAAAAAAGTTTCAATCTTTTTAAAAAAAGGGAATACTAGTTATCAATTATTTTCATTTCTAATAAAAAGAAAAGAAGCAACACTTTGGTAGGATGTCTTGTTAACCATCAGCACTCAATAACATATTTGATAAACTACATACTTCCAAGTAAAGGAACCAAGGCTTCAGAGTTTAAACGATGTATAAAACAAACAATTGAAACTTATAGTACAAGGATAAAAACAACAAGTGAAACATAATCAAGGAGATAGATAGAGATGAGCAAAGTCATCTAAAGACTCAAGTATGTGTCCTTGGTCTCCGTTTTCAAGCATCCACAAGAGATGGTCAAACAAAACAACTTCACATTTCACAATAATAACACAGCTTCCATCTTCGTTATTATCATCATCTTCTTCATACCTCTGTTGCTTCTCCACAAGAGCGTTGAGTAGAGGATGCTTCAGGTGTTGCTTACTGATCAAGTAAGGTTTCTTCGTACGTCCTACAAACACTGTCTGGTACAAAGACGGTGTGGTAGGGCTGCTTTGGTCTACGTCTTGTGGATCTCTTCTTGCAGATTGGGACCTGAGGCTTGTGTAGGAGTTTGAACGACTCAGCTGTGTGGACACGCTCTTGCATCTCCTTAGCAGCATCGTTAGTCTCATCTTCTTCATCGTTGAGTCAATCTCTTTCTCTTGCTGTATGAAGAGGATACTTAATAATAGAAAGTAGGTGATACGTCTCATTACTAAGCAGTTCAAGTTATATTATACTCCCACTATTTTACTTTAATTCTCATTCTAGATTTTTACACAAAAATTAAATGCATATTTAATTTTACATATTTTCAAAATAAAGACACAATTATCTATACACCTAACCATTTTTTAACCAATAAAAAATAAAATATCATATAAAATTAATAAATTGGATAATTCTCTCAAATAACACATTTTTAAGTTTTTATCCCAAAAACAGACCTCAAAAATTAAAATATCAAAATAACACTTTTTATTTTAAAAATTTTAAAGTTTTTTTTTTAATTTTTTAAAATTTAAAACTCTATCCCCAAACTTCACTACTCAACTCTAAACAAAAAAGTTTAGGATTAGTTAACCAAGTGCTATATTTGTGACAAAAATATTTATTCTCAAGTGCTATACTTGATAAAAAACTTTTAGTGTTATTCTAATTATTTTTTCTAATAAATTTTATTTCGAAATTCTAAAATAACACTTATTTTAAAACAAAATTTTTTCTCTAGAATGATAAATAATCTGAAACGGAGAGAGTATGTTTTTTTTTATTTGCAACTAATTTTTCACTTGAGATTTTTTCATAAGACTTAGACGAGGACACTGCAACTAGTGAGAACGTGTCAACAAAAGAGAAACACAACAAGGAGAAGTAAGCACAACACTCGAGTCCAGAGCGTGACACGAAAAACCCTCACTCTGGTTTATATATGTCTCTCATGTCAAGTAATGAATCATTAAACCCTAGAGAGATGGCAAAGAACAAAGACGACATAAAGTACGCAACAGCTCAAACAAAGCAGTCTGAAGACGAGGCGATACGAGTGAGATACAAACATGGGACACCACTTGAAGGAGGGAAGATCGCAGAGTCTGAGCCTGTAGAGCTGTTCTCAAGTGCTCAAGGTATCGAAAAGGGAAAGGATCAGGCAGCTTCTGAACTTACTGGTGATCAGAGACAGATGCAACGTGACGTTAAAGACGTTCCAGGAACACGTACTGATGATACTCTTCGTTAAGAGTCTGTTCTATATATGCATGTGTGTACTATGTTGCTTTTCTAAATAAAAATACGTTTTGATCATTTCACCAAACGTATTAAACCATTATTTCAATCACTAAACTTGTAATAAACATAACATCAATACTCTTAAACTATTATTCTAATCCATTAACCATAAACTTGTATATTTGCTTCTCTAAATAAAAATACGTTTTGATAATTCACCAAGCGTATTAAACCATAATCTCAATCATTAAACTTGTAATAAACTTAACATCAATACTCTTAAACCATTATTCTAATCCATTAACCATAAACTTGTATGTTTGCTTTTCTAAATAAAATACGTTTTGATCATTCACCAAGCGTATTAAAACCATTAATTCAATCACTTAACGTATAATAAACATAACATCAATACTCTTAAACAATTATTCTAATCCATTAACCATAAACTTGTATGTTTGCTTTTCTAAATAAAAATAAATTTTAATCATTTCCAAGTCTTTAAAACCATTATTTCAATCACTAAACTTATAATAAACATAACATCAATATTCTTAAAACATTAATTCAACCACTAAAATTATAATAAACATAACATCAATATTCTTAAACCATTATTCTAATCACTAAACTTGCAATAAACATAATAAATCCAGGAAATTAATAAGATAATCTCTGCTTGTAGTATAGATATAAAAGGGAGTGAGCAAAACATGTTCAAGAGAAGATTGTTTGAAACTCAAAAGTAAGAACTAAAAACATAAAAGGGTTCAAGAAACAAGACAGTGAACACAGAGATTTAATGGATAGGGATTGATGACACACAAGACTCTACTTAGATCTCTGTCTCATCTTTCTTCGCTTCCTCTTCAATCTCCTCATGCGCTTCTTCTTCCACTGCAAGAATATAATCAAACCACAACAGTGATATCAATCCAACTAGTAAAGATTTTCGTTCTAACAAGAAATGAAAAAAATGACAAGAATCAAGAACTGAGAGTTTGTGATATTAATAAGCTCCTAACAAACTTTTATGAATTGAAAACAATAGATTACAGAGGAAATATTTCATACCTTGGCTCTCATGGTGAATTCGCCGAACTTTCTGTAACGCGTCTCTGTTAGCTTATCTCTTCACTATATATAGCTAGGGTTTCCTCTTTCCCTTACTTAAATTGGATAAGGCCCCGATATTATTTTAAACGGGCTGGAAAAATTTTAAGGCCCATGTAAGGATTTACAAGCAGGTAATAAATGGCTAGATTGCATGGAAACTCGGTCTTTCTTTGTTTCAAAAATGTTTCGGAATCGAAATCTTTTAGAGTACCCCAATTAAAGATTTAGATGGGGTTCACACGTTTTTCAACATAAAAAATACTCCCTCCGTTTTATATTAAGTGTCGTTGTAGAGAACTTTTTGTGTTATAAAATAAGTGTCGTTTTCGGTTTTCAATGCAAAATTTATTAATTTTATTATGTAATTTGTTTTTCTATTGGTTAAAATATGGTTAGGTGTGTGGGTAATTGTATTTTTTTATAGGAAATATGTAAAATTAATTGTTTCCTTAATCCGTGTGCATAGCTGTAGAGTGACACTTATATTGAAACAGAGGGAGTATTAAAATAATTAAACCGTACGATCCCCTCTCTCCTAAAATTTTCTCTGCTGAATCTCTCTCCTAAAATTCATCATTGTAGCACGAGTCCTATGACACGTGACGGTCCACGATTGGTCTATTCTTTTTTTTTCTTAAGAAAAATCAGAAAAAAAATTAATAGTAAAAAAGGAAATGATAAACCCCAAGAGGGGGTTCATTAATGTGTATGCTCTTAGAAACTCTTTGGAAACACGTTTCTTGAAATTTTTATTTTAGAAACATATTGGCATTTGACGTTAATGATTACATGTTTATCATTTTATATTTTAATATTATCTTTTGATATTTGTTATCATTTTAGTATAATGATTTGATTTGAAATGAAGGCACTCCATTATTTTATCGAATGATAACATGTGTTGATTTTCTAGTTTTTGATTATAATTTTAGTAAAATATACAAAAAAATATTTATATTACTTAATTTTTTTTGAATAAATCAAATAAAAAAATAAGCTTACATGTTGATTAATCATATATATTATAAATGTTTCTATTTTTAAAAAATCATGTTTCCACGTTTCGAAACATTTCGTTTCCACGTATCCGTTTCCGATTTTATGCAACCTAGATAAATGGAATAGAAGACCAAAAAGTACGTTGCATGTACAGTGTGAGATATGAGAAGAAGACAACAAAGACGACAAAGTGTTGCTGCTATAGTGCTATTCATAGTTCCAATTTCGAAGTTAACAGTAATAATTCATATACATCTTCTGTCTTCATTCCCGTTGCAATCACATGTTTCACTTTTTTTATTTATTTTTATTTATTTTTGATGTTAACCATTTCTCATTCTGTGCACTTCAAATATTTACTATCGAATATGCCGTTTTGGTTCACTGTAGCGGACAGCTAAGAAACCAGCTCAAGCTGCCTTCTCTTTGTGCTGCAGCCAAATATATATGTCCCCTTTTGTTTCATTCACATTCACTAATGTCTAAAGACCACTGTAATACTATAGATAGTCATAGATGTAATACTATATATAGTCATAGATGTAGGTTTTCCATATAACAAAAGTAATCATATATATAAATTCTGGCAGATACGAGAGAGGCTACCACCAACCTTATTTAATGCAATGAATTACTAATATCTTTTGCATTTGATTTACATATATACTATAGAATGATACAGAGTTGTGACACTCGCACCATAATTACAGTTTGACAATTGTTGCCATATTTACGATAAGGACGTGCATTGTTCTAGTTCATATTATCATTTGATAACGTGTATCTCTAATAGGATAATGAATCTCTCGTCGAAGCAACAAGAAGTTATAATGTGTAAGTTTTCAACCATGGCATATTTAAGAGGTACTGGTCGCGTTTTTTTTTGTTTTGGCAACGAAACTGCGTCCCGTTAGGGGAGTCAACAAAAACGGCAAGTCGTCTACGAACAAATCATCAAGTTTTTACTATATTGAGTGATTTAGTGAACTACCCATATTTGAAGTTCAAATTAGCAAAATACCATTGATTAAATATGAAGGACACTGATACAACCATTTGGCAAGGAAATGTCGAGAATACCCTTTCTCTTTCGTTTCATTAACACGAAGCGTAAAAACATTTGTTAACATATAACACTTCTGTAACGTCTACAATATTTGTTAACAGCCAACACATTTATTATCGCGAAGCGTAAAAATAATTGTTAACAGTTAACACTTCTGTTAACGTCTACAATATTTGTTAACAACGAACACATTTATTAACGAGAAGCGTAAAAATAATTGTTAACACCTAACACTTCTGTTAACGTCTACAATATTTGTTAACCGCTAACACGACGTCGAATCTAAAATCCAGAAAATTGATATCATCAAAAAATTGAGGATTCAAAGCCACTTATGAAAAAAATAATGAAATTTAAAAGTTAATTGTATATAGAATGATAGAGATTTGTAAAATAATTAGGGATCAGAGAGAAAAAAAAAAGGTCAAAATTGAGGATTCAAGGCCACTTATAAAAAAATAATGAAATTTAAAATTTAATTGTATATAGAATGATAGAGATTTGTAAAATAATTAGGAATTGAAGAAAAAAAAAGAGGGGAGATGTCAAAAAGGTCAAAAAGAGGAGAGAGAATGTAAAGAAGGGCAAAATGATCTAAAAGAAAATGATTGTCACATGGGCAGTTCTCTAATTATAGGTGCCAAATATGGCACTTTAACCAATTATCTCTACTATATTAACCTTATCATTCTCTAATAGAATTAGAACATTCTTGGTAATTTCCCCCTCAAACGAGACCAACCAATACCATAATTAAGCAACCTCCACGTGGCTTTTCGACTTTCATTAATCGAACTCAATCTGAAAACATTGATTGGGTAATAAAACTCACGTTTATTTATTTTTTTGAACTTGGTAGTAATAAAAACTCACGTTGTTGTGTTCTGTCCGTTGAAAATCAATTATTATTTCTGTTATCTTACCCCAAAAACATGACTTAGAATTTTTACATGGTTCGGTGATAAAAACATCAAACTTTATGTCCAAAAATGGATATTTATTAAACTCCGTCATTATCCTACCGCCCCCACCGACCATTCTTCTCCGTCGTCCTTTCTCCTCCTTTAATCACGCATCGATTCTCCGGCGGTGACCTTCCTTCTCCGTCGTGTTCCTGCGAATTGCCTTCTCCGATTGGAATCGTTGATTTCCCCCAATTAATTCAGGTTTAGGGTTTTTTTTTTTTCCAATTTGATTGATCTCGAGCTAGGGTTACCTAATTCGTTTGCTTGAATTAAAAGTCTTTCCATTTTAGGCGTAATTCACCAGGTGATTTTTTGTTTACTACATTTAAGCGAGCTCAATTTTTTTTTTTCTTTTCAATTTGATTGATCTCGAGCTAGGGTTACCTAATTCGTTTGATTGAATTAAAAGTCTTTCCCTTTTTAGGCGTAATTCACCAGGTGATTGTTTGTTTACTACATTTAAGCGAGCTCAATTTTTTTTTTTTTTTTTTAAATTTGTAGGATTGTATCTCTCATCGTTGTGGTGATGATCGCGTTTGATTTGTTGAGGCAGAGGGCTTCTTTGTATCTGCATTCTCTATAGAGTTTTAATTAAGCGTTTGAGAATGGCTCAGGGACAGAACAGGAATGTTCCTCAGATGGGACAAATGCAGAATCCTGTTGCGGTTTCTGCTTCTAATGTTTCGTCTCAGCCTAATGGTGTACCTCAAGATGGTCTCAGGATACGGCAGGAGATGTTGAATAAGATGTAAGAATGTTTCTTTGTTGTCGTTTTAACTTGCTTTTGCTGTGTTGGTCGTGGCTCTTGTTTGCTTTATATTGCATTGGTGTATGTGGTTGCTCTGAGACTAGTACATATGTACCATTTTTTTTTGTCAGCACATATATACCTTTTAGACTTAAAAGTAGTTTACTGTTTTGTGCAACATCTGTTTCGAACACGTCTAATTTTTTTTTTTTTTTGCCTATGCGGTGTTGGTCGTGGATATTGCTTGCTCTATATTGCATTTGTGTATGTGTTTACTCGATACTAGTGCATATATACCATTTAGACATAAGTAGTTTACTGTTTAGTGCAACGATCTGCTTGAACACTTCTAATAATCTAGCTGTTTAAGCAATTTAATTCTTTTATTTATCGACTTTTGGATACCAGGTTTCTTGGGGTTTAGTTTGGTAATGCAACTGTAATAACAACTTTTTGAATACCCTTATTTACTTGAGTTATTATTCTTTCCAGCTTCGTGTGGTTACAGCAAAGGCAGCCTACAAAGAATGATGATGCCTCCAAGGCAAAGTTATTTGAGGTTTCAAAGCGGTTAGAAAATGCATTGTTAAAAACGGCTTCGTCAAAGGTTCCTCTTCCTTTTGATCTTCTCATTGTTACAGTTCATTAAATATTCATAGGTAGTCGCATATAGTATTTGGTTTCCAGAAATGGAATCTGTCACAGAACAGGTTGTAACTGTTCCTGATGATTATTTTCTTTTCGCAGGAGGAGTACTTAGATTTCCAAAGTTTTGAGGTTCGCATAAAATCTATTCTGAATCAAATGTTTGGTCAGCACCGTGCTAATTTTAATCCTTCAAGCTCGGCCAGTATGATGGTTCAAACACCTGGGGTTTCGCATGGATGGGGTCAAAATCAGACTGCCACCCCTATGGTGAACACTGGCACCTTTAACAGTAATAGTAACTTAGCAGATGCAGCAACCGAAACAGGAAGGCTATTGCCAACTAATCGCATGAATGGAGGTAACATTCTACGGTATACATGTAAGCTTGACTCTGCAAAGAGTCTGTACTGACTGTTTTTATATTTTGACAGGTCAAATGATTAATGGTCGCCAGCAAATATCTGCTAACACTGGCCAGATGATGCCTACTCCTGGATTTAACAACAGTGTTAACGTTGATGTATATCAGTCTCAACGAAATGGAGAAACTTCTAGAGATGGTGGGAAGCTTCCGGCTGTTGGGTCTGATTTTGGAAACCAATCTCAGCTTCAGATGCAACGTCCTGCTGGTTCAGATGACCGTATGCATCAGCAGTTTGGAGGTGGTTTCAGGTCAAATATGCACCAGAATGCGCCTGGGATGATCAATATTCCTCAAAATGCTGGTGTAGGGATGAGTGGGAACAGTGTACACCTTGCTAATGGGCACATGGGGTCTGCAGGAGGCCTTAGTTCCACGCATTTTTCAACTTCGTCCCAACCTTTGCAGCAGCCTGTCGATCAGTTGCAGCAGGTGTCACATGTTCACAGTAAATCTCTCTAATTTTCCTATGCTATTTGAATTTCTATGCTCTCTTGATTGTCTCCCTTAGTGCTATCCTTCTTACAAGTATGTGACTCATAGTGGTACGCTTTTTTTTTTTCATGTGAAGGATACTCAATGAACAACTCTGGTACTTTTGGGTCTGGGAATCTCTATGGATCATCTGGCTCAATGGAAGCTTCTGGGGATATGAACACAATGAGTCTGAATCCTATGCGGAGAGTTGATGTTTCCTTTGGTAATAATCAGTCGAGTCTGCAAGCAGTGGACAAGACTCCATTGATAAAGCATCAACTACCTCAGCAGTTCGAGAATGGGAATTTTCAGTCTTCTTCCAGTTCCAAAGACAATTTGGCTCAGGTGAGTCATCAACCATTAGACAATCAGTTCAACCAGCCAGCTCATCATGGTCAATACCAGCAACAAGAGCACTTACTGAACAATGATGCTTATCGTCAGCCTCAGCGATCTTCAAATATTGTTAGCCAAGTAAAGCATGAGCCTCGTCCGGAATACTATAACGAAGCTTTTCAGATGCAGGCTGTAAATCAAGTAGAACCATCCAAGTTGCAAAACCAGTACAAACAGAACGCTGTCAAAGAAGACTATGTTGGTGCGCAGAGTAGTAGCCAGCTAAATATTTCTTCATCTTTCCCAGCGCAAACTCATCAGACGCAGCAGATACCTCAATGGAAAGATGTGAGTAACCTCTCGGGTGGAGTGCAGCAAGTATCAAGCCAGGGTCAGTGGCATTCACCTTCTCAGAACTTGACACAAACATCCAAAGATTTTAATGGAGAGAGAGAACAGTTTGGGGTAAACTCAAGTCAAATAGTACCTATTAAGCATGAACCTACTATTAGTAGTTCGTCTGTTGCTCTTAGAAGCACCCTGAAGGAGGCTCCACATCCCCCGGAAGGAAGCAACACCTTGAGTAAACCGCTGAGTGAAGATAGTGATCCAAGTTATATAAACCAGAGGCGGTGGCTCTTGTTCCTGCTACATGTTCGCAAATGCAAAGCGGAGGATAACTGTGAAAGTAAGTATTGTTCAACTGCCAAAACGTTGCTGAAACATATTGATTGCTGCAAGGCACCTGCTTGCACATATCAATATTGTCTTCAAACCCGGAAACTGATTCATCATAATCAGCACTGCGAGAATGAAGCATGCCCAGTCTGTGTTTATGTCAAAAAATTCAAGGAGAAACAAAAAGAAAAGATTGCCCTCCTTCGAAAAGCTGAGTCTTCAAATCATAGACGCAAGGAAGCCTTTGAGCCTATGCGTATTTCTAATGAAAGAGACTCTGAAGCTCCTTCTGTTGTTGATGATGATCTGCAACCTTCTCCAAAGCGGGTGAAAGTAGAGAAACCTTCCCAGTTTGCTTACCCTGAGACACATACCATCCCAGCGAGAAAATCTGTTGGTATGGGTAAAACTCATTTGTCAAAGGGTTTGCAAGAGAAATATAGTCTACAAAGTGATGTTAGCAAAACTAGTAGACCAGATGTGCCTATGAATGCAGATAGTTCTGATTCTTCGAGGAGAAGACTTCCAGTTTCCCGTGAGCTGGAGAAGCCTGTTTTCAATGATACCCCCATGGGAGGATATGGTGGAGACTCTTCATTGGATGGTGAACATGTTTGTGTACCAAAGCAAGAAAAATCAAACTTTATCAAGGAAGTAACACCCAAAGAAGAGAAAGCGGAACAATCTGCGGACGTTGTAGCTGCATCCAGTAGCGGCAAGTCAAAGATCAAGGGAGTCTCATTGATTGAGCTGTTCACTCCAGAGCAAGTAGAGGAGCATATCCGTGGTCTTCGTCAGTGGGTAGGCCAGGTAAGCTGACAAGTTCTTAGATGTAATGTAACTCTTGTTTTTATATGGAAGGTTTGGTTTTACCAAAGAATGGGTTTCAGTTTCCTTCTTTGGGTCTCATATGCTGTTGTCTGAATCTTTCTTTCTCTTACTGCATACCTTTCTTACAGTGGGTAACGCTAGTTTTTCTATCTTTGTAATTTTATTTCAGAGTAAAACCAAGGCAGAAAAGAATAAAGCAATGGGACTCACCATGTCTGAAAACTCTTGCCAGTTATGTGCTGTTGAGAGGCTTGCATTTGAGCCAACACCTATATATTGCACACCTTGTGGTGCACGGATCAAGAGGAATGCTATGCACTATACTGTTGTGTCTGGTGAGTCACGTCACTATGTCTGCATTCCTTGCTACAATGAAGCGCGTACGAACACTGTTTCTGTTGATGGAACTCCTGTGCCGAAGTCAAGGTTTGAGAAAAAGAAAAACGATGAGGAGGTTGAAGAACCGGTACGCCTCTTCTTCACATGAAGCTCTGCAATTATTTTTACAGGGTTCCCTATTTTATGTCTTAGCTTCTTTACTTATTATCCTTCTGAACCAATGATTATGTGCAGTGGGTGCAATGTGATAAATGTCAAGCGTGGCAGCATCAAATCTGTGCTTTGTTCAATGGCCGTAGGAATCATGGGCAAGCCGAGTACACCTGCCCAAATTGCTATATACAAGAGGTGGAACGAGGAGAAAGGAAGCCAGTATCACCAAGTGTTATTCTGGGGGCACAAAGTTTACCAGCCAGTACTCTTAGCAACCATTTAGAACAGCGGTTGTTCAAGAAATTGAAGCAGGAAAGACAGGAGAGGGCTAGGCTTCAAGGAAAAAGCTACGATGAGGTAATTTATTAACTTTTCCCATGGCCGCCGGCTTGTGTTTTCTACTACATTCAACCATATGATGTTGATTTTTAGAGAGAAATATCTTTCCTTATATAGCTAGGGTTAAGGAAGATGTCAATAAATGTAGGGCTTACAGAAAGATACAAAAAAGTATCGCTTTAAGGCCGCTAATGTTAAGAAAATCTACCTAGTGTATATTTTTGTTTCTTATAATGAATGCTCTTTCCTTATATAGCTGAGGCTTTGGATGATAACAATATAATTTCCTTCTTTATTGATGTATCAGGTTCCTGGAGCCGACTCACTTGTTATCAGAGTTGTTGCATCTATCGACAAAATGTTAGAAGTAAAGCCACGGTTCCTTGACATTTTCCGAGAAGAGAATTACTCATCTGAGTTCCCTTATAAGTCCAAGGTACAACTTCTTGGTTCTTATTTGTTTTCTGATTTTCTAATGATGCCCCTTGAGTCTTGGCTATAAGCTAACCAATATGTATTTTTTTCATTCTTTTCAGGCAGTTCTGCTGTTTCAGAAGATTGAAGGTGTCGAAGTTTGCTTATTTGGCATGTACGTCCAAGAATTTGGAACTGATTCTGCGTCTCCCAATCAGCGGCGTGTATACCTTTCCTATCTGGACTCGGTTAAATACTTCAGACCTGACGTTAGAACTGTGTCTGGAGAGGCCCTCCGTACTTTTGTGTACCATGAAATTCTTGTAAGCTATCTTTCTTCTGATCCCAGTTGCTTTCAGGCTCCTGTGTTGTCTCAACAATGACCTTTTTTCGGATTTGCAGATTGGTTATCTTGATTACTGTAAGAAACGTGGGTTTTCAAGCTGCTATATATGGGCATGCCCTCCTCTTAAGGGTGAAGATTACATTCTATACTGTCATCCTGAAATTCAGAAAACGCCAAAGACTGACAAACTAAGGGAATGGTATGGAATGATATTTTCACTTGCAAGAGAGGAAATTACATCATGATGTGTAATGTAATACTCAATTCTTTTTTTCAGGTATTTAGCAATGCTAAGGAAAGCTTCCAAGGAAAAAGTGGTGGTTGAATGTACAAACTTCTATGATCATTTCTTCGTCCAGTCTGGTGAATGTAGAGCTAAGGTAACAGCAGCAAGGTTACCATATTTTGATGGGGATTACTGGCCAGGCGCTGCTGAGGATTTGATAGATCAAATGAGCCAAGAGGAAGATGGCAAGAAGTCAAATAGAAAAGTAATGTCCAAAAAGGTCATATCGAAAAGGGCTTTAAAAGCAGTAGGTCAGCTTGACCTTTCTGTTAATGCCTCAAAGGATCTCCTGCTAATGCATAAAGTAAGTTTAGTTCTGTCTGTTAAGCCTTTGTTGAAGAAAAAGATAATGTGGATGATTGTTTGTAGAATTTACTTTGTAGTTTCTTTTTGATGTAGTTGTAGGATTCCAAATGAGAAAAAGAATAAAAAAGAATGATTTTACAGTAATTTTTTTCTTTCTATAGCTTACTAAATAATGCTTTAGAAAATAGATTCCTATACCTATTTCTTTATTTATTTGGATGTAGCTTTAAAAAATAAATAAAATGTTGTAGAAGAAAATTAAAGTTATCATATCCCTAACTATTCATTGCTCTTTCTTCTGTAGCTGGGTGAGATCATCCTCCCAATGAAGGAAGATTTCATCATGGTGCATTTGCAACATTGTTGTAAGCATTGTTGCACTCTAATGGTATCTGGATATCGCTGGGTGTGCAACCAGTGCAAGAATTTTCAGATTTGTGACAAGTAAGTTCTACATGTTAATTCACCTTATTATATATTTGAAACTTATATAACTATATCAGTTTAAAATATCCAAAATTCTGTAGAAATATTTAGCCAAAAGACTATTCTTCACTGAACTGTTGGAGAGTAAATGTTGGATCGTTCCAAGATATGTATATATATATTTCTTTGGCTGCCTCTCATGAGTTTTCTCTTACAACAGGTGTCATGAAGTGGAAAAGAACCGTGTCGAAAAGGAGAAACATCCTGTCAACCAGAGGGAGAAGCATGCACTCTATCCTGTAAGTTTCTAGAAGCTTTAATAAATTTGGCTTTCTTCATTATGGTTTAGAACATGACAAAGGTTTTGGTCTCTGCAGATTGCCATTGAAGACGTTCCTACTGAAATTAAGGACAGTGATGACATCCTTGAGAGCGAGTTCTTTGATACTAGGCAAGCTTTCCTAAGTCTCTGCCAAGGAAACCACTATCAATACGACACGCTGAGGCGGGCAAAACACTCTTCTATGATGATTTTGTATCATCTTCACAACCCAACCGTCCCTGCATTTGCAACTGCATGCGCCATCTGCCAGCAAGACCTTGAACCTTCTCAAGGTTGGCGCTGTGAAGTTTGTCCTGATTATGAAGTTTGTAGCCCTTGCTACTCAAAGGGCATTAACCATCCACACAGCCTCATTAGCCGTCCAGCTGCGAATGATTCTGTTGTCCCAACCTCACAAACTAATCAGACTGCACAGGTATATTTTTTTTTCTTTCAAACTTCCCTTAGCTTCTCGTTTTACCTATTTGCTAATACAGTTTTGCTTGCTGGTACTGCAGTTAAGAGAACTGCTGCTACACATGTTGTCATGCTGCACCACACAGTGCCAGTATCCAAGGTGTCGCGCGATTAAGCTTCTGGTCAGGCATGGTCTTGTATGCAAGACCAAAGGCAAAGGATGCATCCATTGTAAGAAAATGTGGGCCATCTTCCGTTTGCACGCTCGAAACTGCAGAGATTCTCAATGTAGAGTACCCAAATGCAGGTACGTGACAAGAACCACTTTGTTCAAGAAAGTTGATATTTTATTTATCTCTAATGATCTGGCATTGTGGGTTTGACAGAGACTTGAGAGCTCATGATAGTAGAAAGCAACAACAGGCAGATTCAAGACGCAGAGCTGCTGTGAAGGAGATGGTGCGGCAGAGAGCTGCTGATGCATCAGCCTCAACTTCTGACTGATCAACTTACACATCTCATGCTTAGAAGGAAGGATGCAAATGTGGAGAACGACTCTTCAAGCTACTACTAATTTAGGCACCACAAGGAGGTACATAGATGTTTTATGTACATGTATTCTTAAGGTATAGACGAATGTGCATATGTAATTTGTGATTTTTGATTCAAATTTTGATGCTTCTTTTTTAACTTGAATCCTATTGAATTGTTGGGGTCTTAATTCCACTATTTTGACCCCTTCGTTTTGTTGTATAACTATGTACCATTTTTGGCAAAAGCCTATTAGCTAATAAATTCTCCTGATATCCTTCTAAATACTAGTGCAAATACATTTGTAAGTTTTGCAACAATAAAACTTCCGAAAACATTACATGTTCATGCAAAGAAAAAATTTCTTTTCACATAAATTTTATTTTGAATAAGGATGGAACAGCTTCATCTGGCTCTTGGTTCTTGTGAAGTCGGTTAGGCTTTTTACATACTAAACATAGTATGTTATATTATAATATATATAGGCAATATCGTATTTATACTCATAATCTGCCAAGGCACATGTTTTTAGGGGTGGGCGCAAGGCGAGTACTTGCTATTTTGCATGTACTCGCGACTTAACTTACCTTGTACGAATAATAAAATTTTCGACTTGTACTTGACTTGTTTAAAACGAATACTTACTATTTCGAGTACTTGATGAAAAATAAACGACTTGCAAGTTACTTGACTTGCTCTATTACTTATTATTTACGAGTACTTATGCACTATTTACGAGCTTTTTCGGAATATTTAAGAACTACTAACTAAATAATATTCTGTTAGAAATAGACATGAAAATTTGTTTTGTTTATTTTACTTAAAGTAACATGTAAATCACTTTAAATAGAATATTTGTTCATATTATAAAAAAGATAAATTAAAAAATGCATATTATGGTATATAAACATTGTATAATGATCATGATAACAAGAATATCTTCTCTAGATAAGTAACAAGTAATAACAAATCATAGTACTAAATTTTTAATATTTGTTGCTGTGTAATACTTGACTAGATAACGACGAGTATTCAAAGATCAAGATTAGATACAAAATAAATAACAAATATAAGAAGAGTAGTGTGTATTTATGTCTAGGCCTAAATGCAAGTAAAAGAAAAGACAAATATGAAAAACTAATTAATAGATTATGTAACAAATAGCAAGTAATGGAACAAGTAGCGGGGCGAAACGAGTCAAATACAAAATATAATAATGATACTTGATACTTGACTTAGTCTTGCAAGTAATGAAAATTGTCGCCTTGTTACTTGCCTTGACAACACCGAGTACTTGAATTTTTAAGGCGGGTACGAGTCAAATATCGAGTTTAAGGCGAGTAACGAGTAATGATGCCCAGCCCTACATGTCTGTACCTATACCTAGTATTATAATATACGCAATAGTTCTTTTTTTTTTGTCTCTCTCGATTATTAAAGAAAACAACTTGATACGTACATACAAGAAAAAAGCTCACAATTTCAACAACCTGGAGAACGTAAAACAATAGAAAGCCAAATTTGGAAGATCAAGGCAAACAAAAACAATAGAAAGCCAAATTTGAGAAAATACAATACAGCAAACAAGGACACAAATTTTATTTAGAAGATGAGATGGACTAGGAACGACATTTTATCATGAAAAGCTTAAACCCTGACTCCCTGTTCAGGTTCTTTAGAATTAGAGTAAACAGTTTATTTGTGGCTCTTCCCTTTTTTGTCAACGCCTCGTGATTCATCCTCTCGTCTTTGTGTTAAACCCTGGATTTCCGTTAATGCACTTGCTTGTCTCAACAATGCTTCCAACAATGCATTTATTTGTTCAGTTGGTAATGTGGATAGGTAGTCCGAAAATCCTTCTAGGGTTCCTCTCGAACTTGAACCTTGTGTTGTTCCTCCTGCATGCGCATCAAATGAGGAAAAATCTTTAGTTTAGAAAATGAGATGAAACTCTAGCTCAAACCGATCACAAAATCGAAAATACTTAGAGGAAAGTAAGATGTGTGTTCACAAGATGATGCAAGCACTTTTCCATACCTTGTTGTTTCCCCATCATCTCCTGAAAGATCTTTTCTATTTTCCTCACGTTCTCCTTCTTTTGTTTCTCCTCTTCAGGAAGTTGTTTCTCCTCTTTTTCTTTGTTTTCATTTTGCCAAAGCTCCATACCTTTATCTATTCCCTTAACTACAGCACCAAAAGCCATATACATGCCCTGCATAGCAATACCTTTTACCTTCTCTAAAGGTTCATATTTTGGCACTCCTCTCCCCTTTGAGCTACTGGCGAAATCGAATTCTGGCATCTTGCTTTTAGATTGCTGCGGGGTCTTGGCTTTTGGCTCCCTTACTTCATTTGGTACAAGGTAGATTATCTCAGCAGATTCATCTATTTTCTTTAGTTTCTTTGTCAAACCAAACGGACTAAATTCTCCCATCACCGCTAGCTCTCTTTCACCCTCTAACAAATCAATAACTCCTAATAATATAAAAATTAATAATAATTGCTTAAGCTGTTTTTTTACAAGAATAATGCATCTTTTTTTTTGTGAGTTAGATGGATTTGTGTCATAACATTATACCATGATTAATCCGGGGTTCTTAGCGAAAACTAAGAAATTGTTTCTTAATTTTTAACTAAAAACGCTAAGAACCGGTTCTTAAAGTCCTTATTTTAAGAACCGGTTCTTAGCGTTTTTAGTTAAAAGTTAAGAAACAGTTTCTTAGTTTCCGTTAAGAATTCCTCTTAAAGAACCCGGGGTTAATCATGCTCTTAGATTCGAAATAAGAGCCAAAGTGAGGAATTATAACCTTTTTTTTTTTGTTTTGGTTAAACGCCTAAGCAGATTATGTAAACTGAATATCAACCATCATAAAATTCATAACTAATTTAACATAACCATGAATTAGTGTTTGTGTACCTGGAAACTTCCATGCAATTGCCTTAGCTCTCTCTTTGATGTCTTCATCAAAAACTGCGAACTGGAATACAGCTATCATCTGCAATTTAATTTAGAACCCCGTGGTATAAGCATATAACCCCTATCACGTAATACATACAATTTTAAAGCCACTGAAAATTAATTTTGTTCAGAGAATTGTAGAAAAACGAACCTTCCTTTTTGAAAAATAGAAAAGATTTGAGTGAAGAGAGATAACTCAAAGGAGGAATATGAATGCAACCTTGCAGCTTGTTCATAATTGCTTTCTCGTTTATTTATACGGTTTCTTTGGTTTAAACTTTGAATTAGTGAATATAATAACGAGGGGGTCAAGCCATCCGAACCAAAGAGGAATATGATAGTAGACTGTGGCCGAGTCTCTTATTTTATTGGGTGGCCGAGTCTCTTATTTTATGATATACACATGCCACATTTTTGTTAAGGATACAATAAGTCAAGAAGCAACCTAACCATTTCTTCGAAGTAGGGAATGAGAGACCCGGTTTATCGTAGTCTCTTATTTTATTGGGTTCAACTACTACCGTATTTTATGATATACACATGTCACATTTTTGTTAAGGATACAAGAAGTCAAGAAGCAACCTAACCATTTCTTCGAAGTAGGGAATGAGAGACCCGGTTTATCGTAGTCAAGTCACAGATTCAGTGCCATCTCTAAGAGTTGAGAGGCTTAAAGCAAACTAAATTTGTGTGGCCTTATGTTTTTATTACTTAATTTCACTTATGAATTTGATACCATAATACACTTTGGTTACTTTTAAAATACAAAATAACATTATTATATCCTATATTTTAACACAAATCATCGACTTAACTTTGATAAATTTTATATCAAATCTTTAAAACTCTATAAGAAAGTACTACAGTACTATGGGTTTTCATTGCTACTATGGTGTTTTCAATACTAAATACATTACGAATATTCTTACAATTATGTAAAGTATTATGCAAACAATAAAATGGTAAAAGGAGAAAGTTCAAATAGCCAGTATAATTAATGATGTCAAATTAATTAAGAAAGGGTTTGAATAACTAAGTGGTAATTAAACATAATAATGTTTTTAAAAAAAAAATCTAATAAGAAAAACAACTAAAACAAAGATATCTAATAAAGAAAAATAGGAAAAGAACATCACTGACTATGATCGACGTAAACTAAATGGCGGCGGGATGCAATGGCACATGCTTTCTGTGCCTTAAGGGTGGAACGGGTCTGCAGAGACTCACAATAAAGAGGTGAAAGGATAGGTTCTCGATAAAAAATGGTCTGTTAAATTTAGGAATATCATTGATTTCCCACTTAAACTCAGTTATCAATAATTAGATTGGTTCTATCTTTTATATGTTAGTTAATGAGACTTTATTAGTTTATTAACATATAACACAAATTCTTAGCACTAGCAACATGAAGAGCCCGCAGATTCCCAAGCTTCAACTGATCTCTAACAATGTGACAATCTATCTCTATATGCTTAGTCTTATCATGGAAGACTGGATTTGAAGCAATGTAGATAGCAGATTTATTGTCACAAAACAGTTTCGCAGTAGCAATTACCTTGATGCCAAAGTCACGAAGGAGCTGTTAAAGCCAAAGAATCTCACATGTAACATCAGCCATATTGCGGTACTCTGCTTCCATGCTGCTACGACTGACCACGTTCTGCTTGCGTAATTTCCAGGCAACCAAAGATGTGCCTATGTAAACACTGACACCCGAAACGGAACATCTACAATCAGGACACGGTGCCCAGTCTGCATCTGCAAAAGCGTTCAAACAGAGATCCGCTGTAACAAAATAAAACAGACCAAGGCCAGGATTGCCTTTCAGATATCTGAGAATCCGGTGAGCCGCTTGCAAGTGAGTATCAGTCGGAGCCTGAAGAAACTGACAGCAACTGCTGAGGTGTAAACTGCTGAAAGGATAAGTCCGTTCCAGAAGAAGTCTGTCCATTATCACCAGAACCAGTTGACACATTCGCAATACCTTTCTGTTGACCAGTAGGGGAAGACAAGA